CAAGTAAACATCTTTATTTACTCAAGCAGCCACTGAGCAGTGTACAGTCAGACCATTCACAGCCCTTACATCACCAGTGTGATGCAATAACAAGCAAGGCAATCATTCCTGTGGGCATCTGGGAAAGCTATTAGAGACGCTCCTGCAGAATATTACACAAAGATGATTCTGCTCCAGTTAAACTTTTGAGTTATTTAAAAATGTACCAACCTGAGAAGCAGTACACACACAGCAACCAGCGAATAGGCCAGCAGAGTACCAATGGACATCATGTCCACCAGGGCTTTGAGGTCAAACAGGAAAGCCATGATGGCTAAAGTAAGCAATAAAAGAAGAAGGAAAGGAATGAACACAAACACTTTCACCCTTAACAGTAAATTTCAACAGGTAGGATCATTACTGATTCCCTTCACAGTCACAGAACACGATCCCTTACACACACATACAGTAACATGGAAAAGACATTTCCTTCTAATTGAACGTGACAGTCACCAGATGCAAATCAAATTTCATGCAGATGTGTTTTCACTAGAGCACAACAGCTGTATTCATCTCCATATTGAGTCATTTGATGTGAGATATACTGCGGTGTTGCTTGTCTTGTATCTCAGCACCAGTCACCAAACGATTATCTGTAGAGAGATTGTTTTAAAAGAAAAATAAAAACACCACGATACAACTGCATGATAGATAGCTTACCCGCAGTGGTACCTGCTGCCATGGTGGCAGCCACAGGCGACTGGTGCTTACTCACTTTGGACATAAATTTGAATAGAATACCATCTCGTGCCATGGCAAAGAGAATGCGTGGTAGAGGGAACATGGAGCCCAATAGGCTAGGGAGAAGAGGGTTGATGGTTAAGTTGAGGGCTTTCTGGGAAAGAAAACATGACACCTGCACAACTGTGAAAGAACAACAGGTGTATACAGACGTATGACAAGGTCCTTACACGCTAGATCATTAATATCAGAAAGCGTAATGGCCCAATTTGATTCAGAACCAACATTGACTGCGCTGTGTCTTTCACAGTTGATCGGTGAGGAGAAAGATTAGCTTAGAGTGATCCCACTTGGATTCTCCCTGGCTCTCACCTGCAACTACACCGGAGCTCATAGTGGCAATAAGTGGGGTCTTCGTCTTAGGATTGATTCGGGCTAAGGCTTTG